AGAGGAGTCGTTTGTTTAGTCGGAATCTTCGTATTTTATCTTTGTTACCTTTTCTTAATAATGAGAAACAATTTGAAAGAAGCGAGTCGACCGCTAGAACTAGTGGTCTTAGAACCAGGAATAAATAGGCTTACTCTTCAATTGAATTTAAATTATAATCTAAACTCAACCGCAGATTGATGCTTTGTTCGAAAAATCCGAAAATCTGGATTTTTTTGTCGTGGCGTAAGAAAAAAACGAATAGKGGAAGAATAATAAATCTTTTTTTTATTGAACATATTTGCTCATTTTGACTACTTTATCATATTATCATATTTTATCATACTAATTTCTACTCTACCTKCTCGGAGTTCATTCTCCAGAGAACTCCATTTTAAGCATTCCGCTGGATTCTTTCCAATCTTCTTATTTTATAATCTCATTGGAAATCATATAAAGACAATTCCTATTTAATATAGCGATTTGGGCAAGTATTTTACGATTAAGAAGCAACTGACCCTTGTACATATTGTGTATGAATCTACGATGGACATCTGGATTCTCACGTTTGTTTTGCGAGAATATAAGATACTTGGGAATCCTATGATGCTATACGGGAGGCATCGAATTGTTTTGGATGATCTCTTGAAATATGGTTTCCATAATTTTCATGTCGAGGACATTCTGACATTTTTGCTCCTTCATTATTTTTTCATATATTTTCTTTTGTTAAATTTCTTTGCTTTTATTTGTAATTTTATAATTTAAATGAATTAATTTAGACTAATAAATAATTTTATGCAATTAAGTATATTTATATATTACATACATATAAAATAAACTTCAATTAAATTATATAATATCTTCGTTTACTTTTAATATTTGGAAGGAATTATTATGGATAATATCTATTATCTTAAATACATAAATTTAAAACAATATTTTTAATGATCAACCTAAAATAATATAAGTTGATAATACAATAAATGAATTTCGTCTCATATAACATTAATTATATAATTCCATTTTAAAAAAATAATAAAATTGAAAATGGAATTTATATTCAATATTAATTGCTTAAAAAAATCTTATATTAATATGAATTCTACCTAATAACATAAAAAAATTAATATATACACCATTAATATAAAAACTAAAATATTAAATTAATTTTTAAAAAAATCTATTATATAGATATTAATTTAAAAAACCTATTATATAAATGTAAATTATATTAGATTAATGTATAAATTATTCGTAAGATACTTTTTGAACATTATATAAATAAAATCTCTAAACCCATGAATAAATACGGTAAAACAAAGTGGCTATCAAGACATTTCTATATTTTCATATGAAACAAACATGATAACATACCTACATTTAAACCATACATGTAAAATTTCAGAAATCTGAAGATATTCCAAAAATAAACGGCCTAAAATCCTACCAAATCTTACCTAAGATAAATTTGTTTGGAACAAAATGAGATTTAGATTGGATTTCAAATTTCTTTTTTTTATTCCACTCTAAATGATATACAAATCCGTGTGAATCTCGGATTCTTAATTAAGGTTATTTAATTTTAGTATTTAAACTTTTAACGAATCTATAAAATTTTAATTATAATTCATTTTAGTCAAAGATCTAATATAATATTTGAACTTTAAAAAATAATTATTTTTGTTATTATCTTTATTTTTCTTTGATAATGCAAATGTGTGTATTAAAAGCATACTTTGTTGGCGCCTAATACTTAAAAGTAATGTGGCAAAATAATATAAGAAGGACCAAAATTATTTGTTTAAGAATTAAACAAGACATGCTTCAAAAATAATAATAATAAACTTGACATTATAAAAGTCCGGAATTAAAATAATTAGCTTAGTCTAGCACGACTTTTTTATGCTAAACTCGGTAGAGATTGATATTTTCTATTTACTTTCAGAACTTATAAATAATTTATGTTATATTTTTCTGGTTAAAATTATTAAAATTGTAAATTCTTTTCCTTTAAAAAAAACTCTTCATTAGTTTTGAGAGTTACCGCCTCATATATACACTTATATTTATTTATGTATATTTTTAAGAGTGCACTTAATTGATAATCTGAAAATAAAAATTAAAAGATGTTGTTATCTTTTTAGATAGATATTTAATAATAGATTTGAAAATTGAACCTCAATTTTAAAAAAATTATAATATATTTATAAACCTGGGACAATTACTTGATCTATAATATTATTAATTAATTTATTAACTTAAATATAATAAATTTTTTGTAATTACTATTTTATAATATATTACACTGTTTTAATTTTAAAAAAATAAAATTAGTTCATAACATGAAATTTTATATTTATCATATGTTATATCTTTTTTTATTACAATTTTGTACTTTAAAATTTCAAATTCAAAATTTAAAAACAAAATAAAAAATAAATTAAAAAATAGATCAAGCAAGGGAGTTACTTTTAAAGTTTTCGGTTTTTTACATTTATTCTATTAGCTTTAAATATTTAAAATGTCTAGTCTTTTAAAAAATACTAGTATGCTACCCATTGCAAGTGCACAGAAAATTTTTAATTTAATTAATTTTATAATAACATAAATAAAAATATCACTAATTGTAAAAAAAAAACAAAGAAGAAAATTAAGATATATATATACCTTCTTGATAATTGCAAGACAACACATAACTTCAAAATTGAATTGTAACCTCTCAATAATTCATAATATAGATTAACTTAGTATATCACATAACATCTTGAATTGCTCTTGAGTTTAATAAATTTCAAAGCAATAAATAAGTGTAAAGCTTATATATTTATAAGTTTGTATATATAAATTATAATTGTTTTAGATTTTAAAACTTTTGTATTTTTAGATTAAATTTCATCATATTCTTTTGAGATTTTGAGATTCATCCGTGTCTATTTTACTCCTCAAACTTTGAAAAAAGTAATAATTCTTTGGTGGTATTTGGCCATCTAATTACCCATCCACCTAATACCCACCTCAATCAAATGTTAATATACCTATTATGTTATCTTGTTAAGCGATTAATGGAAAAATAACTGAAAACCAAAATGGTTATTAAAAAAAAAAACTTAATACTAAGATAGCCATTTTGACAGTCGTGTAATAACAAAAATCAAATAGTTATGAAAATTTATGAACTAAAATAATAGTGTAAATCATAGATTTACACACATGGGGTAACGAAATCTTAATTACCTTTTTAAATCTTATTATGGTCATCCTTCATTGGTTGTTTGCAGATCCGTTATCAAGAAATGTATCAACGACATCTTCTAAGATGGTCAAGCTACGCCAAGGAAAAAGAATAAAAGAAACAAAGAAACATGTGACCTCTCATGTAGGCTAAAAGCTCACATCTATGAGAAGGTTTGACACCTTGATGTCGGCCCTTCTTATCTGGGGCTATATATAGTCTATGTTCGTTGGGATCCAAACTATTGCAAATTTGGTCCATAAACTTTCAGAGGACGCATCTTTTCAAAGCTTTTGGATTTTTAGAAGTTACAAATTATACCTAGACTTTGGAATTTGCGTTTAACAAGTCCATCATTGGACTTCATTAATTAGGCATTAGGGATTATGCAGAATGTTGTGGCACTTATAGTATGCCATGTGACTAATTTCAGACAAGCCAACAAACTAATTATTTGATTTTATACCAAAAAAAATAGAGAGATTTATCATTTAGACAATGAGAGTATAGCAAAATAACCTTCTCAACTTAGAAGCCATGTGTAAGAGGCAAAGTACATATTGAATCTCAACTTCAAAGTTACTTGATTTGGCATAATCACAAGCTTTAATAATGACAAGTTGATCTCGGAGATCCAAAATTTAATAAGTCTCTACACAAGTCTATAAATTCGACGTCGTTTGACTTATTATGAGTTCAAACCTGACTTTTCAAAGGTACACTTACATCGAATCTTAGCTTGTACCAAACTCAATGCAACAACTCATCTATGATGTTCATTGTTAAATAGACCTTAATTACCTAGTCAGTCAAGAAAAGAAAATCTTAAATTCTTCATGATTTTAAAATCATTAGGAGACTCTATTTAGCCTCTACTTTTCGAAGTTACAAATGTTTATAAGATCAAAATCCTACTAGTGTCATACGGCCTTCGGCTACCTAGCTTAAATCTATGTGAAGCACTAACTATTTAGTATGGTATATTAGACTTTAGTGTATAATTCCTACTTTTTCAAGAGTTATGGTTGAGGTTTAATCATGTTTATTTCATTCGTCAAAAATGCTAAAATTTTCTCGATATAGTAATTAGAATGTCAAGTCGCGAGCATACATGCTTTTGAACAATTGTGAGTTTTAACGCATACACTCATTCTATCCAACCTTCCTACATTTTTCTCAATTATTAGTTTAAATTCAATAACAAATTTAAAAAGAAAATGAATGCATCACCAACACA